TATCTATCTATCTATCTATCTATCTATCTATCTATCTATCTATCTATCTATCCTGCTACCAAGAAGAAATGTATATTCACATATGCCAGGCATAAATATAACAAGGTTGATCCTAACAGTGCTGTACAAAATCTAGCACAATAGTCAGAAACTTGATGCTGCCAGGAAAAACAACAACCAGCCAGAACAGCACAAGCTGAGATAGAAAAACAGATGAGATGGTGGTGCAGATTCTTGGCGGCAGCAAAAAAAAAAAGGGGGGGGGGGGAAAGACTGCTTCTGAACAAATTTGGCAGGGCTTCCCCATTGAGGCTTGGTGTGCTGAGGAGCAAGGGTGATTTGCCCTAAAGCTGGCAGTGAGCTAATAGGGAGAGAGTATGTCCGGCAGACTAAGCAGAAACATGTAGCCACTAAGTGAGAAAAACAGAATTCAACACTCTAGCAATCTATCATGGCTGCTGAAAGTGAAAGGACCGGGTGAAAGGAGCCCTGAGATAATTAGGGCATCAAAAGACATGTAGAGGAGGAAGGAACTACCTTTCCTGAATGTAGGATTTACTTGTGCCAAGCTCTACCCTTGCATTACCTTGAACCTCGGTAAACTCTTCAATATGATCAAAGCAAAGAGAGATTCCACATTGTCTGCATGTATTTTTTCAATAGCACATGGATTACCAATCAGAAAGTTAGGCAAGGCCAGGATAAACATTGAATACAATTTAATTAAATTTTAAGGTTGAAATTAATTTAACATGATAATTCACTGAGTATTAGTAGTTTTCCAATTCTGTTAAATATTAAGATTCAACATGAACTTTTAGAGGCATTCTGGAGCAAGCAGAATTTCCAGGGGCATTTGAGTTCTAAATTCAACTCATCAATTCTTTGCATAAATTATCTTTTTTTTACTCTGCTAAGTTTCTCTAGTTTTATTAAATACTTAACATACAAGAGCCAAGTTTTCTCTCCTTCTACAATTACACGGGCCAATTACAATTACAAATAGGTGTTCTGTTTTAAATCATCATTCAATAATGATGCAACTTCCACAGGATTAGGTAATCAGAATGAATTTCAAATTGTTATTCTTTTGATAACAACCGGCACAGCCAAAATATTTCAGCTATAACATAAAAAGAAAATCACGATTATAAAATTACGCACAGCTTCAGGTATTCCAACTGAAAAAGAACACCCTAAAGCAGGGATAGGGAGCTATGGCCCTTTTATGACTTTGTGGACTTCAACTTCCAGAATTCCTGAGCCAGTCATGCTCAACTCTGGGAGTTGAAGTCCACTAGTCACAGAGGGGCTGTAGTTCCCCAACTCTGCCTTAAAGCAATGCTTTCAAATGGTGGTATGGGACTCAAAGCTAATCTAAGTGGGATGCAGGGTAGTTACTGAAACGTTATGTTAAGACTTTAGAACTTACCATAAATAAAATAGTCGCTGCACGCCTATAAATGGAAACCCTCCTCAGAAAAAAATACGCTTTTTATTCCTACTTTGACTTCACACACTTTTCCAGAAAATGTTACAAAGCAAAAAGGTTTCACTTTCTACCACACCCTGCCTGTGAACTTTCACTAACATCTGATTTGACAAGTTGATGAACTGAATTAAAAGGTAATAAAAATCATTATGTTGCAAGAAATTATTTCACTTTTACTAATGTGATAAGAAAAGAGAGGAAAAAAAACCACCGAAAGTAACCAGTTCATCTTTGTGGGCTTTTCTCTGTCAAGTGATTTTGATGCTCTTTGGAGAAGCACAACAACAATCCCTGCCTGTGGGAATCATTCCTGCAACCACAAATATCCTGTAGGCTTTTACTGATTAGGAACTGCAAAAATGAGAGCTGAGCCCAAGCTGTCAGTCATCCTAATTCTACTATACTGAGATCATGCCTACGCAGCCACTGGCCTCACCCCTCTTTTTCTCAGCAGCAGTTTCACCCCCACGTGAGCATCCCATATCCCATGCTCCATTCCGTTCTTCCATGGAAATGGTACCATTTTCTCTCCTAGTGTCCAACCCAATTGTGTCCCATTCTCATTCTTACATTTGCTCTGTTTGCTTTTTGCGATTAGGAAAAAAGGGGGAAATTCAACCAGTCGCTAATTAAGAGGTGGGGTGAAGACACCTCAAAGCAACTGAGAGCCAGTCTGTTCTATTGGTTAAAGCACCAGCCTGGAAACCAGGAGACTGTGCATTCTAGACTCATCTTAGACATAAAAGCCAGCTGGATGACTTTGACTTTTGTCTGTCAATTCACCTGACTGTGTTATTATTGCAGGGAAAATAGCAGCAGGAAGGGTATTTAGACGTATT